GAGTTATTTACACTGTTAAAGAGTTGGATTCTCATGCTAAACATGGCCAAAGATTCAAAAAAACTATTTGAACGTATGACGGAGTATTGCAGAGTATTAACTTTATTCAGGTTACAGAAGACATTGGCAGTGCTGCACAGGACTTGCTCGAGAAGAATGTCTCCAAAGAAGTGTGTTTTTGGATGTGAGGGAAAGATAACCTTGTTCAGCTTCCAAAGAACCCGGCGTTACGTGAACAGTGGATGCAATTTGTTTTTCCGGGACAGCAACGGAGTTTCGCAAGTGTTTGTTTTGGGCATTTCGGTGACAAATGTTTTATAAACAAGGCCCAGCTCGACGCTGGATTTGCACATCGTTTGATACTGAAAGACGGAGCAGTCCCAGCGATAAAAGATCCCAGTCATGAGCTGGAACAGAGAAAAACTACATCAAATTTCTGTGTTTTGTTGGCAATTGGTGCAGTGCTCATGACTCTTTAGCTCCGCCCACGGCACGCCTCCAGGAGCTTGACTGTTTTCGGACCGAATCATAAAGCTGTATCTTTCTTTTATAAATCTGATAAAACGAAAGACTCTTCGGAGATATGAAGGATGCAATACTACTATATAGGTATACTCAAGATTAACATGAGATTGGCAGAAACTGTGTGTGTTATGTCCCCTTTAAACGGAACTCTCGACCATATCAACATGCACTGTTTGTCTGTGTTAGTTGCTTCATTGCTATCTGAAACTATATCTGCATATGCGGTACAAACATCAGACGTCATATTTATTCATGAAGGATGTCATAATGGTACATTCGTATGCACGTATATGCAAACATCAGACAGTATATTTGTTCATGAGAAATAATCATCAATAATCAGTAGGTTGTGTGTGATGTCAGTCTAAATTTGTCATGTCCTATTTAGTTGTTAAGGTCAACGTTCTTTCGCAGGTAGAAAAGTCCGAATTTACATTGTAACATTAATTTATTTACTCTAGCGCACAGTAGATATCAGTAAAGCAATGCCACAATAAACTAAAGAAGGGATTAATATGTGGGTAAATCCTAGAGGCTTTTATTACATGAACATGGTCAGAATGTGCGTGCGTTGAGAGGCACATGCAAATTTGTCTTATTAACTGAAAAAATGTGTGTCTTTACACATACTATGGAAACTATATATAATTTCTAGTCACTGGATGGTGATTGGTCAAAAAAATCCAGTCGCATTAAAATACAGCCCTAAAATTTGTATATCACTGCACAGAGACCAATTATTAACCTTTATTTATGTCAGCACTAGTGGAAGAATGATTGATATACAATATATCACAACCTCTTAGTGGTTAACAGATTGTTGTTGTGAAACCTGTTTTATAATGGCTGCGTATAAAAGTATGTATTGGGATTATACGGTTATGATGTCACAGAGTGAATGTACTTCAGCTGCTGTTATTGTCGCCTCTGAACATACTCCTTTGTACCTCCAAATCTGATCCTTTTTTTCTTTTATGGCCTGAGAGAAAGTGAGAAGATGAAAGGAAATAATTAGAAAAGAAGCCAGCAGAGACTGAGGAGATGTTGAATTTGGCGTTGCGAGAGTGTTATTAAAAACCCTGCCCCTCATATTAACACTGACTCAATTTAATCACCTCCCACTTCCAGTAAAATGGCACACTTTTAATTTTCAAGCTTTCCAAGGATCTCAGGTTCTCATATTTACATACAGTCTGTTCAGAGAGGGCTTTTTTAACTCTAATTTGGAAATGAATTTTATTTCCTACTTTGAGCAGTTTCTGAAACATGATGGTTTGAGTCCAGTCCTTTGGTTCTGCTTTTATAATCTATATTCTCAGTCTGGTCAGGAGTATTACACAATTTCTAAAGACCTTGGGAGGGTGTGGATCTAATGTCATCCAGTCCTGAGAGTGTTTTTTTTGTGTGTGTGCATAAATGACATAAATGTGATCACATATCTGTTTTCATACAGAAGGTAAACAGCCAAGTTGTTATAGTTCGAGAGGGGCCAGTAGTGAAAAGTGGGGCGGCTGTTAAGCAGTTTTCAGCAGAGGGTAGTTGTCAAAGAGAGGGATGTAAGGGGTGGGCAGACCTCTGAACAGCTACATTTGTGGAATGTGTGTTCATTTTATATCCTGGGGAAATTGAATCTTGTTTTTGGATGAAACCGGCGTTTACAGCACACTCTCACACAAGCAGAGCTTACAGACAGCTCAGTGAAACATGCAACAATATAGGAGAAACTATTAATATATATAATTATTTTTTGAATGACGTCTGTTCACTAAGGCTGCATTTAAAGTACAGTAAAAAACGAATAATGTGAAATCACAATTTAACTTTTCTTTTTTAATATATATATATATATATATATGTGTGTGTTATATATATTAAAAAAGAAAAGTTAAATTGTAATATATATATTAGCAACTATATTTTTATTTTAAATGTAATGTGATGACAAAGCTAGACCATGACTGGTCATACACACACACACATGCATTTATATATATACTGCACACATACAGTATATATATATAAAAAGGATGTATGAACTTAAAAAGTCTGTTTCTCCATTGCAGTCATTTAAAATTCAGAGAAAAAATTTTTTGGAAGCAACACATATATTGCTAGTATTTAATTGTGGAGGGGTCTTAAAATCATGACATTGGTTTTCTGAAATTTACGTAATATTGATAATTAATATAAAAATTAAAGGGGTCATATGATGCTGCTAAAAAGAACATTATTTTGTGTATTTGGTGTAATGAAATGTGTTCATTCATAGTTTCCAAGATTGCTAGTTGGGTGCATGTTGTTGTTGAAAATGGAATGACATCTAGAGACATTCACGGCTCAGGTTAGAAAGTTCTGTGGTCCTTCTCCAGGTATTATAGTCTAGACCAGTGTTTCTCAACCCTGGTCCTGGGCGCCCCCCAGCACTGCACATTTTGTGTGTCTCCCTAACCAAACACACCTGATTCAACTCATTAGCTCATTAAAAGAAACTCCAGGAACTGAAATGGGTGTCAGATAAGGGAGACATACAAAATGTGCAGTGTTGGGGGGCGCTCAGGACCAGGGTTGAGAAACACTGGTCTAGACCTTCTTGGTCAGAATATGCCATGACTGTTGAACGCCTGTCAAGAGAGAAACATTTTATGCACATATAATTGTGTAGTTACAGCATCTACCAGCAGACGATAACTGCAGAGGAACCAGCCAAACCCTGACCCCCTAGCTAAACCATTTACAAACTCTTTTTTTCCTCAGACACTCATGAATGGAGTTCTGTGAAAGCTAGTTACCCCAATCCTCCTGCCAGCTGATCTGAACTGCTTACCATCACCCCCCGAAGAGCTAGTGAAGAGTTTCTCCTTCATTAATCATGCAAACAGAGCCAAATGTTATAGGTAATTATCAGTTTTATCATAGTCATCAAAGTTTGAAACTGCTGTTGTGTTTCGGGTGTATCTGAGTTTGTTCTTCCCACCCTGAATCCTCTTTAGAGTAACATGTAAACACAAGTGGGCTGCATCGCCCTAAAATAAACATATTCACACACACACACTCCACAGCTCAAACCCTACTCCAAACACACCTGCTCACACTCATTTCACCACACTGGCGAGTTTGGATGTCTGGATTTGATTGGTCGGAGCAGCGGTCGTTTGTGGTTTTACACTTACACAGAGATGTTTTTTCCTGATGTGACAGGCTGACTCTGCTGATTTTGAAATCAGACAAGGATCCTGACCCCAGTGAACTGCTCGGGTAACATGTTCAAACCAGACCACAATATCTGCATTGGTTGTGATGTCTCTCAGACATCTTAGTACTTCTTGGTCTCTTAATATATTGAATAATATCAAATTGCATACAGTTAAAGTTGCAAGCTGAGTTGTGGCCTAGTGGTCAGTGTATCATTACTCTCCATAAAAATGGCAAGAAGTATTTAAAAAATAAATATAACAGCTCACACTGCATTATGATTTATGATACGTTTAGTTCTTCAGTTCATATATAATTGATATCAACTTTTCCTACCACACTTTTTCCTTCTACTCAACTTTCTATGAATATGCTTGGATACAGCACTCTGTGAACAACCAGCTTCTTTAGCAATGAACTTTTGTGGCTTACCCTCCTTGTGGAGGGTGTCAATGACTGTCTTCTGGACATCTGTCAAGTCAGCAGTCTTCCCCATGATTGTGTAGCCTCCTGACCCAGACTGAGAGACCATTTAAAGGCTTAGGAAACCTTTGCAGGGGTTTTGAGGTAATTAGCTGATTAGGGTGTGACACCATGACTTTCCAGTATATTGATCTTATGTAATATTCTAATTTTCTGAGACACTGAATTTTGGGTTTTCATTATCTGTAAGCCATAATCATCTAAATTTCAAGAAATAAAGGCTTGAAATATTTCACTCTGTGTAATGAATCTATATAATATATGGGTTTCACTTTCTGAAATGAGTGACAAAAAATATTGACCTTTTTCATGATATTATTTTTTTTAGATGTCCCTGTATATATATATATATATATACACACATACATCCTGTATATATTATCATTATAATCCTGTACATATTTTATTATTATAATCCAGTATAAGAATCCCTCAGTTTGCTAAGAAAAAGGATCACGCCTTAAAAAACTTCATTTCCCACGATGCTGTGCGAGCAGTGGAGAGTTCAGGGGTCAGAGTTTAGATGTGCGCGAAATAGACTGAGGATTGGACATTGCAAGCTAAACAAAACTCTTCATGTTATAGGAAAACACCCGACAGGACTATGTGATGAATGTCAGGAGGAGGAATCAATTAAGCACATCTTTATATCATGTAAGAAATATATACAAGAAAGGCAAGAGTTCAAGAATCAGCTAAACTCCAACGAAGAAGAAGAAGGAGCAGAACACTCCAGTCCAGTTGGTGGCGGTAATACACCATAAGTTGGCTTGTCAACCGCCATAAAATCGTACAAGAAGAAGAAGAAGAAGAAGGAGCAGAAGAAGAAGTGCGCGTGTCGCTGCTGCGCGAACGAAGCGGAAATAGAAACATGCAGCAAAGTTTTACCTAAGTTTCGCGCACACCCGTTTTTAATTCATCCCCGTCACAAACATGACCTCAAATATTACAGACGCCTCGCAGGACGAGCTGATCAATTTAATATATCACCATTTAAAGGACAACGGCTATAAGAAAGCAGCCAACGTGCTGAGAAAGCACGCACCCCAGGTGCAGTTATGTTTATTCTTTTTTGTTGAGAGAGCAAGTGCATGATTGTAGGTCAAGAGTATGTATTATTGCATTCATTTTGAAACATGAGAATTCAAAATAAAGCATTTCAAACTCTTGCTTTAGTTTAGAGCAATCGAACCTAATCCGATGCATTTACCAACACCAATTTATTTAGTGTTTATCTGTTCACTGCCTATCGGTGACAGTAGTACACGATGCCCATAAAGCAATACTTAAGCTGTATTTCTACCACTGTAGTTGGCACTTACTGCACGTATGCGTTAAACTTGAGTGGTAGAAACGAGCGTTTTTAATTCGTGAATGTAGTGCCAAATAACCTTGTCCTGTGGTTACTGATAGTAGTGCACAGATATACTGTAATCACCAAATAAGATTTACAGACACTGATGTCAGTCAGTGCAACAGTTCAGTGTTTTTTTTTCTTTCCTATTAGAGTCGATGTCAGACGAGCTCAGTACTGTGATATGCATCGCAACACAATATATGAATTGTCTGAATGCACGTAATGTTTGTATGAAATGTGGCTGTTAATTGCAGGTTGAAACTGAAGAAGTGAAAGCATCCTTGAGTGAGATCTTTAAGAAGTGGGCAAGGTAACTTGGTGCATGTGTGTCTCGTGTTCTGGGCTACATTGAAATGGTTTCAAACAAATTTATCATGTTTCTTCCTTTTTACAACGTGATTCATTCAGCTTGGATGATGGAGATATTCCTCCTGTGCCTTCTGGTATGTACATCAGCTGAGGTTTTACTAAGTATTATTTATCAGAAGATTCACATGACAAATCTGAGTACCGTACATGAATAATTTTGATGGAAATCATACTGACAATTCAAAACTCCTATGGAGTGATCACTAATATTAGTAGAAACCAACTGAAACTCTTTAAATCCACAGGTGTTCAGACTCCTGAGCTTCAGAGTCCTGCAAAGAGCAAGACAGGCTCTTCAACTGGAACCAAGTCTAAGGTCACAGCCCCATCTGCTGGTAAGTGAGTTGTCCATTTTATTATTATGTTTATATTGTGTAATGTGTGTTTGAGCAGTGTTTTTGTCTAACATTCATCTGGAGATGCCACGGATCTGACAATCTTACTTAAAGTTTGCTGAAAATTTATTCACCCTCAGGCCATCAAAGATGCAGATGAGTTTGTTTCTTTATGGGAACCGACTTGGAGAAATGTAGCATTACATCACTTGCTCACCAATGGATCCTCTGCAGTGAATGGGTGCCGTCAGAATGAGTCTAAACAGCTGATTAAAAACATCACAATAATCCACAAGTACTCCAGTCCATCAATTAACATCTTGTGAAGTTAAAAGCTTTGTGTTTGTATGAAACAAATATGTCATTGACACGTTTTTAACTTCAAACCAGTGCTTCTGTCTAAAATGCCAGTCCTCTCTTCATACTATTGCTTTCTCCAGTGAAAAAGTAATCTTGTCTTAATCAGAAGAGAAATATGCACAGATAAAGCATTGTTTATAGTGAAAGCAGTCCAATTCAGTTCTAAAGAAATATGTTGGTGGATTTTGATGTGAGAGGAAAACAGGGGCTGGACTTTTTCACTGGAGGAAGTGTTATGGATTATGGACTGGTAATTTGACCAGAAGTGACGGTTTGAAGTTAAAAATGTGTTGAGGGATTTGTGAAGTGAAAAGCTGCATGTTTGTAAGAAACAAGCTGTTAATTGATGAACTGGAGTGGTGTGGATTATTTGTGAATTATTGTGATGTTTTTATCAGGTGTTTGGACACTCATTCTGACGGCACCCATTCACTGCAGAGGATCCACTGGTGAGCAAGTGATGTAATGCTACATTTCTGCAAATCTGATGAAGAAACAAACTTATCTACATCTTGGATGGCCTGAGGGTGAGTAGATTTGCAGCAAATTTTCATTTTTGGGTGAAATTTTCTTTTAAAGTGAAAGAATTACATATGTAGTACACACATCCCTAGTTGTGATAGAGCTGAACTGTGATCTAAACCCTCAGTTAAAGTTTCTATATGTTATTTATATTTTTGGTTGTTTGTTTTGTTTATGGAAAGTAGATTGTCCAGAAAATTCTATGAGCAACAAGAAGGCTTCAGGATTGGCAAAAAAATCTACGGTATTTGATTTAAAACTGACCAAGATATTTTATCCAGATTTAACTGAGCCACCATACAAGTCATCTGACATATTCATCACTAATTCCACTCCACAGAAAAAGAAGGATTCAGTGCCTCCTTTAGTCCTTGCCGCTCCAGGGAATAATTCCGATTCAGACTCTAGTTTAGATGTGGAGAAGTGGAGGAAAATGCTTTCCGAGTTATCTGGTAAGACAAACTGTAAAAATGCATAACAGCACACATTGAAGGTTGTAGTGTATTACATGTAGTCCTGCAGATGGGTAAATCTCACAAACCCCATGTTTAACTTCAAAATCAAAAGAAAGATTTTGCTTCATATTTTTGTGGAAACCGTGATACATTTTTCAGGATTCTTTGATGAATAGAAAGTAAAAAAAAAAAAAAAAAAAACAGCATTTATTTGAAATGGAAATAATTTCCAACATTATAAATGCCAATGCGCTCTTGCTGAATAAAAGTATTCATTTCTTAAATGAAAAAAAAAGGTCTTAACTGACCGGCAGTTAATGTATTCATATGTATTTCCCATTCATTTTGATGTGACGTGTTTACATAAGATTAATACATAAACATGAAATATGATTATTGAAGTTTGTCTGTTGTTACCAGATGCCGATCGAGCAAAGATGGAAGTTCTCTCAATCTTGGATGAAACTCCTGTCTCCTCACCTGCAAAGTCTTCAGCAAAGGGAAAGATGACAAAGAAGCCGGCAAGAGCTAAAAATGAGGGAAACCCAGCCAAGAAGGCAAAGTCCAATACACCAGCAAAGGCGGCGAGTGCCAAACCTGATGACATTCCTGTAACGACCGATGCATCTGAGACTCCTTCAAAAAAGTCGAAACACAAAGATGCTACAGCTATTTCTGATCATGAAATTAAGACACCATCCAAAAAGGCTGGGAATAAGACAAATAGTAGTATCTCAGGTCTTGATGTGGTTAAGACCCCTAAAAGAACTAAAGGTAAAACTACTAACTCATCTGTTCAGGATGAGACTGATAAACCAGAAGCACATCATGAAACTAATGGACTCTTGGAAACTGACAAAATGGCCACTCCACTGACAAGGACTAAAGAGGTTGGTGTGTCAGATTCACAAGCCAATAGGACTCCTAAAAGAGTTCAGTTTAGAGCAGATCATAGTTTTTCAGAGCAAGTCGAGACCCCTAAAATAGCAAACGTTTGGAAAGATAATGGTACCTCAGAAACCAGCAGCACTGAAACTCCATCTAAAAAGGCTAAAAAAAGGAAAGGCCAATCTGAAGCTAGTAACGTTGAAACTGACAATAGTCCCTTAAATAATAAAGAGGTTAAGGAAGCTGCTTGCAAGCTGCTAGAAACCAACCTTACAATGGACGCTACCTCTGACCAATCAGAGACGCAATCAAAGAAAGTGAAAAGCAAGAAGTCTAAAAGTGTTGTAGGGCCTGTTCCTGATGAGACGCCTTCTAAGAAGGTTAAAGTTAAGAAAACCGAAGGTGCTTCTGAGATTGACCAAGAAACGACATCTGAGAAAGCTGATGTCTCTCTAGAATCCGTTAAACCTGACTCTTCATCTAAAAAAGCCAAACTTAAGGACAATAAAAGCCATTCAGAAACACTTGAGCCTGAAATGCCGTCTAAAAAAGCTAAAGCCAAGAAAGTTAAAAGCAACGAAGAACCTGCTGGAGAAGTAGAAATGACCATTAAGAAGCTCAAAACGGTCATGTCAGATGATGATCTCCTGCAGTCCGACTCTACAAACAGCTTTTCGAAAAAAAGAAAAAACAAGGCTGCTGATGTTGTGGAGATCCAGAATGACGTTCCTTCAGAAACGCCCTTAAAAAGTAGTAAATCTCAAGCAAAAACTCTAGATGGTGATGGTTTGGGAAATGAGGAAACCTCTAGTCAAGATCTAAACACTCCTTCCAAAAAGGAAAAACGCAAAAGGGAAGAAGCTTGTGACGTCCCAGCACCGGAGGAGGCCACACCAGAGCCCAAGAAGGCCAAGAAAGACAAAGAGAAGAAGAAGAGCAAGGAGGGAGAAAATGAAGATTCTCTTCAACCACCAGCAGCAGAAGAAGCATTTGTTCCTGTAGAAACAAATCAGAAGAAAAAGAGTGAGTGATCATATGCATATCTTGGCTTGTGGCTTTATTTTACTGCATCTTTCAGTTTTTGATTGCTTGTGTTCCCTTTCACTCTGAAATGATGCACAGAGAAGAAGAAAGAGAAGGAGAGAGAAGAAGAAACAGAGGAGATAATTCCTGATGATCCTCCTGTATCTGCTCCAGTTGAGGAGGTGGTAGTGCACAAAAAGGTAAAAATTGGTGTACGGAGCATGCTGTTTTACATTGTGTTCCTTAAAGGGATAGTTCACCCAAAAATGAAAATTCTGTCATTATTTACTCACCCTCAAGTCGCTCTAAACCCGTAAGACCTCCGTTCAGCTTCGGAACACAAATTAAGATATTTTTGATGAATTCTGAGAGCTCTCTGACCCTCCCATAGACAGCAATGTAATTACCACGATCAAGGTCCAGAAACATAGCAAGGAGATCGGTAAAATAATCCATGTGACATCAGGGGTTCAACCGTAATTTTACGAAGCTACGAGAATACTTTTTGTACGCAAAGAAAACAAAAATAACGAGTTCATTCAACAATTCGTCTCCGCATTCATTTTAATGTGACGTGTTTACATAAGATTCATACATAAACGCCCTGGTGCCATTTTGGAGAGTATCCACTGAACGTAAACGGCGTATGCTATTCTGTGTCCGCTGCGTCACGCGGGATGTGCGGGTCTAGTCGACTAGACCAGTGTTTCCCAACCGGGGTGCCGTCTGTCCAGAGCAGGGGTGCCGTGTAAAAAGTCCTTTAAATTATTAACTTTTTATTTTAATTAAATTTTATTTTAATTAAATATTTTAATTAACCCTACTGTTAGACCTACCTGAAAAACTAAAAATCAATTTATTTAATTCGAAGGCCTGTCGTTATTTTTTATTTGTGCTTTCATTATTAATTTCTTTATTTGTTCTTATTTTATTACTGACTGCTTACTTGTCATTTTTTATTCAATTCAAAGTTTGAAATCAAGCTATCTCGTGCTACTGCAACAAAATTACCCCCCTGTAAAATTTAAAAAACACTGAGTGAGCAAAAATTAGTGAGATAGCTAGTTATAATGGTAATTAAATAATGTTTACATATGTATAAAAGCCTACATTAAAATCTGTCATATAAACTGGTCTCTTCATTAGCAATTGCCTACTGATTGCCACAATTGATGGACAAAAATGTTTATAATATTAAAAATATCTGTATGACATTATATTCTGCAGTTCTTCCCTGTTGTACCGAATATCTATACTTTTCAAATTATCACATCGAAGTTAGAAATTCAAATATTGTGACAAAATTAATTTAGTAGGGTGCCACAAGTTTGTTAAAATCTCCAAAGGGTGCCGCGACTAAAAAAAAGGTTGGGAAACACTGCTTTAATGTGTCATAATGCTATAGAAATTAATACTTATATTTAGCAAGGACACATTAAATTGATCAAAAGTGACAGTAGAG